GTGTGTTTGAACGATCGCGAAACCTTGCGGCATCCTGGAAACAACCTTTCTGACTGCGCTACCTACTTTTCGCAACTATTCCGATATAATAACAATTTCTAATTTTTCATCCGATCTGGATGTCTATCGATCATAGTAAGTTCAAACATTTGTCAGATTGATGCTTGTGTGCCTGTGAACAGAAAAATGAGAATTTATGTACAAAATATATTTACCGGATATATTTTTAATTATATATATATTGTATAATATACAAAGAAAATATATGATATCTACGTTAGTATGCAAAAGTAAGATACACGAGATAAATTTGTAAAAAAGAAAAAAAAAATTTAAAAGAAGTTTACATAAATCATGATCATAATAGAAAAGTCTAGTTTAATAACAAATATAAAATTAAATATATGAAAAAAAAGTATAATTTTCAATTTTCAAGATGATATCAAATTTTATTTCGAGATACGTCAGAAGAAAGTGCATCCAGGTGCACGAAAAGCGTTTACTGAACGTGTCTGGGAAACAGAGCCTATAGAAGCGGTCACACACATCTAAGTTCCGCTAGTATGCACTGACGGCCGTCCCGCAAGGCCGGTCCACTTCCGGTCCCGGAGAGCCACCGATCGACCTTCGTGCGGAAACGCAAACGCGCTTCGTAGTTGTACCTTTTGTTTGTAACTGATCACGCAATACGATATAACACACCAAGCAAGGAAAAACCGGTACAAAATTGCGCTCTTTGTCCGTTACGTCTGCTCGATGCGTCAACACCGTTAATTATTTCCAGACGATAGTGTAACACTTAGCTTTACTACTGTGTTCTAAGCGATAAAAATTTAACATTTTACTGGGTGTGATTATCTATGAATAATAACTGCTGGGAATTTGAAATATTGTTTAAGAAAGATTGCAAAGTTTTTTTTTTATATAAAATCATTATTGTATTTATTATATATTTTTTTTTTTATTTTACGAGAGAAAAATTTTTTTTTAAGAAATTAGAAAAAAAATCCGTTTTCTTAAAAATCACATTACAACATCTGTATATACGATAATAATTATAAATATTATTAATTTGAAACGTAAAAATTATTTTTTATTTTTAATATTTTATTTTAATATTTCTTGTTACCTTATTAAAACTTATAAATATTAAGAAATATATAACAAAACTATCGTTGGTTGTTAAATAACAATCATTATACAACATAAAATTTTAATGGAAAACTCATTTTTATGTTAGTACATTTATATGATAAAACATTCTTTCAACGGATTTTGTCGAAAATTAATGATGAAAGATATTGTTAGTATGATATTAGAATAAGTTTCTTATGAGCGTAATAAATCTAAGACTAAGAAAATGGGAAGAATTAAATTGTAAGAAGAAGAAGAAGCATTACGCGGCTTCTTCTCGGAGGTTCGTAAAGGCCACGACGATGGTAGTTACAGACTATGGCTGCGACGCCGACGGTAAGGTCAAGGCCCTCTGCAATCGCCCTACCCAACTCCAATGTACCTTCGTGGTCACGTGACGCGATTCAAGGTCTTTTCTCCCTACTCTGACTGGCGCACCGACCACGCCACTGCCATCCACTACGATGCACCAAGATTGCTCTTTTTCGTATATTTGGACGAATGTAACCTTGCGACGTTTTACCTTTCTTGAAAACTTCAAAAGACATTCTCGTCCGGATCATTTTCAATTCTTCATTCTGCTAATCAGATTCGACGATTTTTATTGTAACTTAACCTTCTCAAATGAGAATTTTCTAATTTCTATTTATATATGTGTATGTTATAATTTCAAAATTGATTGTAATTTATATTAATTAATAATTATACTTAAACCGATAGATATAAATTATTATTATATTTGAAAGGATTACACATGGTTTTTTTTATAGTATATCAAAAAGTGTTGCAAATAGTTGTGAGTCAATGACATTGCTTATAGACGACCTGCATAAAATTTGATGTCCAATGCACTAAACAGTTTGTAGAAACAGAATTGCAATTTTTAATTTAATATTATTAATAAGAAGAAAAAATAATTATATATAATATTAAATGTATCTTTCTTCATATATAATAAATTTTAATTATCAATTTAACAATGTTGCTAAATTTATACATAAATAAATAATTATGATATTAATATTTTATTCTCAAAAATTATTATTAATTTAAATGATAAAGAATGGAAAAATTTATTGATTAGATAATTATTATTTTATTTTTTTATATTTATTATTAAATATATTGATATCTTACAATTTTTTTCATTTTTATTATGTGTTATAAACTTGCATTGAAAAAAAAATATAGAATTGATTTTATAAAATCATCAATTAAATTTTAATTTATAAATTTTGGTTAAAAATTTTATATTGAGAAAGGATATTATTATTTAAAAATTTTCTCATTAAAAAATTTTTTCAATCAATAAAAATTTATTTATCGGAAAATTGCAGGTCTTTGTTAAAATATACATTATTCTATCATGTGATATTATGTTCACATCTCGATAGGTATAAGCATGGCAGGTGACGCGGAAGAGGGATCGATGACCTTAAGAGTACACGCTGGCTCTATTTTGAGCAGGTCGTATATACCATAGACCCCGATTAAGACACAGAATGACCATGAAAGAAGTATGAAGAACTATGTTTATTTTCCTATTACGTTAACCTCGTCACTGTCGACGACACAAATAAAATATATTAACCACATCATTTGTTAAGAAAATCTTTTTTTAAAGAAAACAATAATCATTAAATGTCATGATCATTATTAATAGAAAAATTAATAAATAAAATATTTTTCTATGCTATACACGATACTACAAAAAAATGTTAATTTATATTTTAAAAATATTTCCGCATTTTCGTTCAAATTTATTAGAAAAAAAAAAAAATCGATAATATTTAATCATGTCATATGATAAATTATATATTTTAAAAATTGCAAAGCAACATACCAATACGTTATTTTATTTTTGAAAATCGCAAAAATAATTTTCAGTTGATCATTTAAATATCGAATTGGCCATTAATCATTCTAGCTTTCACAATTTCGCATTGGTTACCTGTGAGAGGTAAATTTTAATTATCAAATAAAGTATGTTTCGTGGAAATGCATATCGACAACGTGAGAGGTTGTTCCTATCGGGAACAGTGTATATACTTTCTAAAGCGATATTAACGAAGGATAAACGAGTGTAACGGACATTTGACTTCGATATAAAGTACCAACATAAGTTAATCACGTAAGTCACGAGTTTACTCAATATAAATACTTTGCACAAATCAAATAAACTCATCAGATGAAATTCGAATTCATATAGCAAGAATAAATATATTTCTTTAAACTTAAAAATTATATATATATACATATATTTTTCTTATTGTATTAAAATTAAAATATTATATTTGAAAATACAGTAGAAAAATACTTCAAGATTGGTTAAAATATATTAATAATAAATAATAATAAATAAATTTATTTTTAAAATTATATTTTATAAATTATTTAAATTTCAAAGTGTTTGGCAATAAAGCAAATAGAAATGCGATCGAAAAAATTTTCCTATTTCATATAATGGATTTTTTATTACTTCTATCGACCGATAATAATGCGCGATAATTGTACATTTACATGACTGTGTCCGTTACACAATGATCACGTTAAGGTATTTCATAGAAGCTTTCCTCGTCTCCATAGTCGCGTTCCAAGTATAAAAAGTACTGGATTTGACGTGGAATCTCTCTCCCTCTCTTTCTCTATTTCACTGGAAGCTAGGCGCGGGTTTTCCTTTCACCTGGGCCAGTGAGCTCGACAGACCCAACTACGCATACGTTTAAATATCTCGTTGAATGTGCATACGTACTTAACTTTACACATATTTTCTGATTACGCACATTTTATAAATGCGCATTTTCTTAGATTCTAATTTTTAACATTGATATTGAATTTTTGTATATATTCTCGAATGCATATATTTAATTATCAATTATAAATCAAATTCATTATTAAAAAAACTATTAAAAAATATATCATGATAAAAAAAATCATCGAAGAAAATTATAAAATCATAAATTATAATAAAAATCTTTTTATTAGAATGATATTGGATAAAGAATCAATGTTTTTATTATTTCGATATGTGAATATTAGTTTTAATTAAATACTTTATCCATTTTTGTGCAATTTGACCTTTATTTATTATAGTGATATTAAAATGAAAAATATGAAAACACTTTTACAATTCAAATAATATAATCTATATTTTTATAACTTCTTTATATCTCATATTCCTCGATTGATTAGTGAAAATTGCTAAAGATATCATCGATGTTAAATAGTGATAAAAGTAAAACTGTTATCTATTTACTATGTAGTCGAATCTAAAAATAATATAATATAATATATATTATATTACATTCAGTTATTAAACTTCTGTAATATGTATAATTTATTATTTAATTTATTTTTATATATATATATATATTTTAATATGTATTTATTATAATAAATACGTAAAGAATTAATCGAAACTTTCGTTATTATTCTTGCATCACGTTCCAGATCATTGTCGAATGATAAAGCATGAGCATGAAAAAATGAAAACGTCGCGACATCTAGATAAAACGTTTGAGATTACGTAAAAATACCAATAATGTTCATTTTTCATTTATCAGATACGATACCTCGACACGAAGTTAGGTATATGAACATACCGATCGAGAATACTCTGGTCTGGTCTGGGTGTCAATTAAAATTATTATAGCCGGTCGAGAAGCATTTTTGAGCAACATCAAGAACCGGTTCGGTTCGGGATCGGCTGCAACAGCCAGCTACCGTCGTCTCGTAT